TTATGTCCATGGTATAGGTCATATAAATAACAGACAGAATCTAAGATGAGTCACTTCAACATTTTAATATGTACAGTGACTGATGTAACTGAGTTTTACAGCAACACTTTGACAATGTGTATTTTTAAAAGCATCTTTTACAAAAGTCTCAAAGCACTTTAAATTTGAAACATTAAAAGCTCTAAAGAAAAAAAGTTAGAAATCTGAGGCAGTGGGAAGCATAGATCAATTTGGGAGTAATTACTCCAATTATTTCTAATAAAATCATTTTGTATTAAGTGAAAATAGATTTAAATGTTAAACATTCATTGAAGAATAAGAGTGGCAGGCTCAAACCTTTATCTTTCCATAAAAAAATGAGCCCCATTATTCTATATTGAGTTAATAGATTTTTACAGGTATTTTTGAGATAAAGAAAAGTATGTAATTGTGTATACTAATCAAAAAGGACAGCCAAATCTCTTTTTCTTAAGTGCAGTCACATTGCAATAATCAAAAACTAAGAATATAGATGACAAATTCTTTCTAGTGGTCAAAATCTAACATGTAAATCCAATCCAGTTTTTTTTTTTAACCTCTATTGTGATATTGTCTACCTTCATTTATTTGGGAATGATCCTTGGGCTTAATCTTGGTTTATGAACACAGATTCTAAAGCCAATTTCAAATCCTAACTCAAAAGTTACTAAGCTACGAGACCTTGAGCAAGCAATAAATTTTAGTGCTTCAATTCCCATCTCTCTATAACGGAAGCAATAACAATATTTATCTAAATGTTTTGTTGTCAGGATCAAGTCACTTAATATATTCAAAGTACTTAGAGTAGTGTCCACTACACAGTTAATGTGGTTTGAGTCTAGCTGTTGCCATTGTTATCCCTAAGGTTTCTTCCAGTTCTAATGTTTTATGATTCTATTATCTTCTCTATAATACTCTTTATATGTAAATATAAGCCATGGATAGATTCTTTGGGTTTGAGTGAATTTTATAAGCATTGACATCATACTTCAAATAAGGTAACATGTGCTATAAACAGTAAGAGATTAATTTTAATAGAGCACCTTCTGGAAAGGGTGATGCTTAAGTGGAAAGTCTCGTTTGAACTTGTATAATAATAGTCAAGTGAGTCTTACAAGTCCCAATACTGTTCTATAACAATATGTCATTTCCCCCCAACTTCAGTATATGTGAATGTGAGTGTGCACACATATATGCGAGGGTGTGCAAATAAAAATTTCTAATCCTTCTTCAAAGAGAAAGACCTGGTAAAAAAAAAAATCCTTAGCCAGCAGAGAAGGAGAGGAGAAATGTCTTTCTGTTGGAACATCCCAGAGTACCTCTTTGAGGACACTTTTTATCTCTTTGTGAGCAGTTCGGGTTCTAGTAATAATTTTTTATTGCTTCCCAAACATCCTTCTGCAGATATTAGATGAGTATCTGTGTTGACGTAGCACAATTCAATTATAAATACAAAAGTTTCCAGCCACTTAGTCTGACACTATTCAACATGAAAAATTAATGCAGAGAATGTTATTAATTTTGTTTCTGCTATTCTGGATATTAATCTATATTTTAGACTCCATTTTACCTAATTTTTCTTCTAAAATGTTAGGTAAAATCTGTTAATTACTTGGTTAGAATAACTGATTGCAGAATATGTTAATTCTTAACTCTGTCTCTCTCATAGTTTTGATATTGAATTGTGCAAATATATCATTTATTTAAAAATTTTAATCAATAATTAAAAACCCAAAAATTAATGAGAAGATATTTCCTAATCAAGGACTTTGTCTTAATGTATAAGGCAATAAAATATAAATATTAAATGAAGTTTTAATAAAATGTGTCCACTGAAAGTTTTACACTTAACTATTTTATTCTCACCCGCATATCTCCACACTATCGTCAGTATTTTACCTAATTAAAAAAAATTAAATTTCATTGCATATCATAAATTTTCTTCACTTTTACAAAAACGTTATCTTATATGTCAACTGGGTGCTCAGGCTATAGGGTGGAAGCATAACTTGATCTTCCATTCAGTGGTAGCAAAATTTAAAGGATGCCAAATTCCCTCACAATTAAAAGTAGATCCCCATGAGGCTGACACAATGTCTGAAGTTTCCACCATTAACATCAGTCCTTGAGGGTTTTGTGGAGACATGCATTTTAATTAGGCTAAGGCATTATATTTTCCGGGTAAGTCATTTGCTACCCAAACACAATAACATGTATTTTCCATCTTATTAAAACTCATTAACACACAGCAGAACCCTGAGGAAATGACATGAAATAGAAAACTAGTACATATCAGAGAAATGAAGAGCTAAAAAAAGGTCAGATTCCCGAGATTGCCAGGTTCCAATAGGCGCTTCTGGGCCCAAAGGAAGCATCATGGGGCTTCAGAGATCTCTGTGGTTCCTCCTAAGCTCTTCACCATATTATTGTGTTTGGAGTTTTCCATTTCTTTGTTTTGCCTTTTTGTTTTTGTTTTGTTTGTTTTAATAACTGACTTTCTTAGACAAGAGCCACCCACATTGGATGTGACCTTCTATCACCTCTGTTCTGGTAAAACGTGATGTCAAATTGTCATTTTATCCTGCTGCTGTTTTTGGCATGAACTCTATATTAAGAAAAAGAAAAGCACAAAATGAAAAGGTAAAAACAATGGCAAGAAAGCAATGACACAGCAATCAATGGAGCCTGAACATGAATGATAAACACATCGATTATTATAATGAATATGCAAGTAATTAGACTCCATTTTTATGCTTTATTAATTATTCTGAAAATCTCCACAATTAAAAAAATAAAGTGATCAAGGATCTAAAAACTCAAGAAATTTAAGAATGCACAAAACAGACCCCACATACACACACTTGTGTGAAAAAAGCTGAATCCAGAGAACTAAATTTACCCTAGAGCTGTAAAACTCCTGAGAACATTCTGTAAGCTCTAAAGCAAGAGGCCTGCATTTTACATAAGTATGAAGAAAATTTTTGGTTCCAGATAAGGAGACAATTGATACTAAGTTTTCTGTATAAATTGGAATTTTTGAAAGGTTTGACCCTTAGTGAAAATGTGGCCTACTAAAATCAAACTCACCAAGAAAGAGAAGACAAGGAAACTTCTCTACTTTGGGTCAGAATCTAAATGAAAAAAAAAAATTATCTTGGCAAGTGGTAACTTGCCAACTCTCAAGCCTGTTTGGTATTCAACATTAAGCTATCTACATTGTTGATTTTTCTGATACAGAAAATCTCAAGCTGAAAATTAATGGAAAATATTATATTTCTAGCACTCTGGAAAACTGGGCAAAATAAAACAAATTCTCTCTAAAGGAATCACATTAGGACTAAACAGGTTTTATGAAGGTAAGGATGGTTCAATGTTGGAAAAACAATCGTGAAAATCCCCTGTTGAGAAAACCACATGATCATATAAATTAATGCAAAAAAATCATTTGACAAAACCCCTCAAATCCCTTCATGATCACACTCTTGGGAAACTAAGACTTTCTAAGACTCATAAAAAGCATGTACCAATAATTCCAAAAGATAACAAAATATGTAATGATGAA